AGCTGTGCCTAAAGACCTCATAATACAAACATTTATTTTATATTAGTATTTCTGTGGTTTCCTGTGACTGGATTCTTGTGATTCATGTGCAAAACATTTACAGTGCCTACTCGGGAAGTTTGGCTGTAGTCAGGAATCAGAATCGGAACCATGTGGCCATTTGCACTCCGCAGATGACAAAAGAGAGCAGCACAGAAAATGCTTATATAGAGAGAACATGTTCATCAAACAACAGCTAGCATTTTAAAAATCTCCATCCCACAAATGTGTAATTATGTCCCTGACTATAAGCACTTCATTTCACTTAACACTTTCCATGCTGCAAAGACGTATTTCCCAAACAGCTCATGAGCTCTCTTCAGTGTAACAGATATTTTCATGATTACCACTTTGAAATAAAATCTATCCAGAAGTACCTATTTTATCTGACAACAATGAAACATAGGTCTATGCAGCTGAGGTTATAGCAATGCATGAGACAGTACATACAAAACTGTTGTTTTACACACTGGTCTGATCTTTTGTTTTTGTAGCCCCCTCAGCAACACAACTTCACTTTCTGAAAGTGAGGATGCTTTTTAAGATAGTTCATCTAGGCCCTTGGATTATAACTCACATGGCAGAGCTACGTGAACAGAAGGAATTTTAGGACCCAGTTATAGTGTTCTTGTATGATATACAATAAATGTGCTATGAACCTTTTCAAATTCCTTCTTCAGTTTTGGGTATTTGCCACACAGAATGTAAAATTGAACAGTGAGTGTAAAATAGGATAATTGAGGACACTTTTTCTGCTTGTTAGTTCCTTTAACCTTTTTTTCCACAGTTCTTTTAAATTTTGCAGAGCATCAACAATTTGTTCCTGTTTTTCATGCAGTTCTAAATCCAGATTCAGTGTTCGGCAAAGCAGAGGTTATTTTTCTCTTTAGTTGTTTTTCTATTACTCTGCTTTCTGTTTGTGTGCTGATACTGAATATTTTCTGAGGAACTCCAGTTTTGGTTTTCAGAGATCATGAATTTCATTAGATTTATCTTCAAATCCTTAAATAGCTTGAATAGACACTGTTGGGAAGGGAAGGCAAGGCAAGGCAAGGCAAGGCAAGGCAAGGCAAGGCAAGGCAAGGCAAGGCAAGGGAGAAAAGAAAAAGTAGCCTGCACAAACTCTCTTCCACTCTTGAATGTGGTCTGAAGATAAGACCTGTCAATACAATACTCAGGAGATAACCACTGGGGTAGAAACATCCTGTGTTTCACCTGTTTCTAAAAAAGGTGAAGGAAWTTTTTTTTTTCTGGTATACTAGTGTTAGGCAACATCTAATCCAACAGTTTTAAGTGACTGAAATGGACCATGGACAAGATGGATGTTAAGAGTTGCATTAAAAAATTTCTGTGTATATGRTTTCATATATTTCCACAGAGTGGCTATGTTATCTGTGTATTAGTTTCTAAAGATGAAACAGGTGTGTATCCCACTGCACAACTTGAGAGACTGGGAGATATTTATTCTGAGTCTGTCAGTAGTACTAGCTAATTTCTTACTGCAAACCAAATTACAGTGTCAAGAAAACAGAATGAGTATTTCCGCTGTTAAGAATGTAACATGTCAACAGTAAATACTGCAATGATGAGCTTAATATAAATAATTACATAGCAGCTTTGAATGCAAGTAATTAATTTGGCATTAATGATAATGTTGCTTGAGATTTCTTTTCAATTTAGAATTAGTTAATGATTCTGTGGATTTGCATTCTTTTAATTATTTCATTTTAATTGTTTGCTATACACAAATTAATGCTTTATAAATTTCAAAGTTTTTAGCAGACACATTTAATTTCTTAATAAAAATGTTTATAATAAAAGAATTTATAAATTTTATACTTTATGTATAGAAATTAAGTTACACTTAGGAGTTCACTTTTTGTAGATTCTGGCTATCATCTAGAATGTCATCCAGAGCACAAATTTGCTATTGGATCTGAAGTCAAACAGATATGAACAAATACGTAATGTGAATTAATAAGCAAGGTGGTATACCTAAAGTCTTTTAGGTATGTTGTGCTTTTTTTAAATTTTTCTATCTAAGATGATTTTGCGAATTTCAGACTATTGCTTTGGATTTTTACTAATGAACATAAAACATAAAACAGACCACAATAGGTCCATTGGATAACCTCACCCCTTATTTAACCTCTAGCATAAATTGGAGACATATTCATTCATCTCAGTTAATATTAAACATGCTAAAATAATTTAGTATGCAAGTCAGAACTTGTTGCTATGCATTAATTTCTAACAAAAGGAAATTGTGATACATTTACCCCTTCATTCAATAAAGTATTCAGGCATTTTCATACTTCACAGAATCATAGAAAGGTTAAGGTTGGACTAAATCATCTCACCCCTAGAGATGATCTAGTCCAACCCCCTGCTCCAGCAGGGACACCCAGAGCACGGGGCACAGGGCRGCATCCAGGCAGGTTTGGAAGACCTCCAGAGAAGGAGACACCACAACCTCCCTGGGCAGCCTGTGCCAGGGCTCTGTCACCTGCAGAGTAAGGTTCTTCCTCATCTGGAGGYAGAATTTGCTTTGTTTCAATTTGTACTTATCACACCTTGTCCCAGCACTTTTCATAACTGAGAAGAGTTTGCTGCCATTCTCCCTACATTCTCCCCTCGGGTATTTATACATCTTGAACAGATTCCCTCTCAACCTTCTCTTCTCCAGGCTGACTAGGCCCAGCTCACTTTTAGTCTTTCCTCATAGGAAAGATGCTCCAGTCACGTTTTCCTCTTTGTCGCTCTACGCTGGACCCTCTCTGGAAGTTTCACATCCTTCTTGTACTGGGGAGCCCAGAACTGCACCCAGTACTCCAGGTGTGACCTCATCACAGCTGAGTAGAGGGGCAGGATCCCCTCCCTCCACCTGCTGGCAACACTCATCCTGACGCAGGCCAGGATCCCATTGGCCTTCTTGGACATAGTGCCATGAGGCACTGCGGCCTCATGGTTAACTTGTTGTCAACCAGGACTCCCACATCCTTCTCTGTGGAGCTGCTGTCCAGCAGGTCAACCCCTAATCTGTACTGATGACTGRGGTTATTGCTCTCAGGTGCAGGACCCTGCACTTGTCCTTGTTGAATCTGAGAAAGTTCCTCTCTGCCCAACTCTCCAACCTGTCTATCTCCCTAGCTCTCTCTGAATGGCGTCACAGCCCTCTGGAGTGTTGGCCACTCCACCCAGTTTGGTATTATCTGCAAACATACTCAGGGTGCACTCTGTGCCGTYATCCAAGTCATTGCTGAACAAGTTAAACATCACTGGGTCCAGTAATGACCCCTGCGGTAGGCCTCCAACTAGACTCCACCACTGGCGGTAGGCCTCCAACTAGACTCAACCCCATTTATCAACATTGTTTGGGCTCTGCCATCCAACCAGTTCTCAATCCACCTCAGCGTCCACCCGTCCAGTCCACACTTCCGGGGCTTTCCTTGGAGGATGTTATGGGAGACAGTGTGGTAAACCTTGCTGAAGTCAAGGTAGACAACATCCACAGCTTTCCCATCATCCAGACAGCCAGCATTCCCATCGTARAAGACTGTCAGGTCAAACATGACCTCCCCTTGGTGAATCCATGCTGACTACTCCTGATCAGCTCTTTCACCTTCACATGCCTAGAGATGCTCTCTAGGATGAGGTGCTCCATCACCTTTCCAGCTCGGAGGTGAGGTTGACTGGCCTGTAGTTTCTCATCTCCTCCCTCTTGTCCTTTTTGAAGACTAGAGTGATGTTGGTTTCTTCCAATTCTGAGCGGCTGAGCAATAACCCCCGCCTGTTCCCTGAGCACTCCTGAGTGCATCCCACTGGGCCCGTAGATTTATGAGTGTCCAGTTTGCTTATATAATCCCTAACCCAATCCCTCTAGACCATCCAAAAGTCTTCTTCTCGCTTGGTTCTCTCTCTTATATCCAGATTTGGTCTTAATTTAATATGGGATCATATATACGCACAAACACTTGGYGTGGTTGAGCCCACATGGCTGAACTCATCGAAGCTATGATGAGTTCAGGATAGCAGCGAAGACTGAATTCATAACAAACAACACTTTCAGGCATTTTTGAATTAAAAAGTAGAATCAAAATGCCATAACTAAATTTTTCAGAACAAAGCCTGATAGGAACCTATTAACAAACATGTCACGAATGTGATGGGCATGCAGAATGAAATTGGGTTAAAAAACATTCGTAAAGGTGCTGCAAGGGCAGTCTTTCCTGCAACACAAATGAGTGCTAATAGAGAAAGCAAATGTATTATTGATACAGTTGTCATAGTATAACAGTTCAGTAGTTGTAATTTGTTAAGATATTATGTAGGAACAAATCTCCCTATATCTGAACAAACATAAACAATTTAAAATTAAAACRAGAAATTTAAAGGAACTACAACGAGGTGGAACTGACTCAAGACCCATCTCCAATTAATGGTTAAAATAGTAAAAAATGATATACCCATATATTCTCTTACAATGCACCATGGCTAATGCTGCAGTAATATTTTACTTCTGAGGTCAGAGAGTAATGCTTGCAAAATTTCAAAAGGCAAGCTAAAACCAGGCCATGAACTTTTGCACTTATTTGGTTAGCTCTGCTTTAGCCCAATGAAAGGGCAAAAATCCTGTTGGCTTCACGGTGATGGTGACTTTAATTTGGTTTTGTTTGTCTCTAACCAATGCAATATTGTTTTATTTGCTCATATACCACAAATTGACCTCATAGAAATTAAATACATTAAGTTAAATTCTAGAGTTTCTCTTCTCTTCTCTTCTCTTCTCTTCTCTTCTCTTCTCTTCTCTTCTCTTCTCTTCTCTTCTCTTCTCTTCTCTTCTCTTCTCTTCTCTTCTCNTCTCTTCTCTTCTCTTCTCTTCTCTTCTCTTCTCTTCTCTTCTCTTCTCTTCTCTTCTCTTCTCTTCTCTTCTCTTCTCTTCTCTTCTCTTCTCTGTTTAGGACCAGCTGATCCACACCCTCCAGCTTGCAGAAGTGACCAGTTCACATGTGCATATGTGCAGCAGTGCTTACCCCTCACTGCAAAATGTAATGAGGCTGAAGACTGTGCAGATGGAAGTGATGAAATGAACTGTCCCACAAAGATTCCTACCACAGAGTCTCTGGGGCCCTGCAAGGAAACAGAGTTCTTGTGTCCTTCCAAAGGATGTATCCCATCCCTCCTGAAATGTGATGGTGTGCCTGACTGCCAGCTTCAAGAAGATGAAATTGGCTGCCGTAAGTTACTTTCATTGCTATAGTTAAATCCATGCTGACTTGCTTTCCTAAGTCAGTGTGAAAAACGCAGCAAAGAAAGGAGTAATATAAAGAAGAATAGAACTGAATATTCCCTAGTCAAAAATATTGTCATTTGTTTTGTATATAATGGGTTACCTAACGAGAAACTCTACATCTGCAAACAATTTTTTTTGCACATTCTTTTTTTTGCTAACTACTGGCTGTGACAAATGTTTAAAAAGGTTTGCACTGCATTTCTGTTAGTAATTGGAAGCTTTTCCACTTTTGCCCATAGAACAGTCAGTTGCATTTGCATTTCGTCATGTCTGCTTACAATATGACAGATATAAAATTTTGCAATTCTGTTATTCAATGAAATTTAAGGCAATTCTGACCTTTTAAGGATTTTGAAAGGAAGTTTATTCATGTATTAGCAGCAATCTCTATTTCAACCAGGAAGAAATTCTCACAAGAAAGACAAAAGAATAACAACTCTGTTACAAGGTACCATAGAGCTTCAAACTGGACATGGACAAAAAAACTCTGTGTCTGCCCATTTGAAAATATATCATTATTGGTAGATGAGCTGAAGTCAATTATTTTGCTATAGAAAGATTCAAATAGTTAGCTATATGGAAAAATATACATATACAAGTATCTCTTTACAAAATTTTCTGCAAAAATTTTAATGCTTCTTTTTCATCTTCTTTAAAAATAAATAAAAAATTTCAAATATCTGTTTCCTTTGGGCTCTATATTCAAGCTTTCAATCATCTGTATCATTTGACTCTACATGCAGGACAGCATACATGCCATTTCTTTTAAAGATTACTACATATAACTAGCATTGAGTTTACAACTATCTGTGCATGCCTTTCTAGAAAGGTTCATTTAAAACTGAACTCTGTGGTTTTGCTGGCAAAAGGCATGCTTTTTTTAGGATATCTCTCACCTTAAGTTCTACGTATCCCAGAAGCATCAAAATTTCCTTGATACGTAGTAGGAGTAGATCTTAACCTCAGACCACAACAGCTAATGTGTACTCCAAAAACTCCATGATCCCATAGCCACAACACTTCCACAAGTATCAGTACTCCACAGGCAATTGAAATACTCTTTTAATGCCTTTGATTTCTAAATACCTAGGGAATAGGAAGAATTAAGTCCTGACCTATTCAAAGGACAAAAAATCTCCATAGTTATTCCAAACCTAGGAATTCTGAGTAGAGTGTAAACATTTAAACYTGTAATTGTTTAAAAGTTCAATATTGACTATATAAATATATATGTTTTGACAATATAAGRTAGGAATACAATATCTGAGGAAGATACCAGCAGAGGGGAAGAAGTTAAAAAACCATGTGGTTCGTAGTGGTTTGGAGCAGAATCAGAGCAAATTTGGTTGCTATTGCCCAATGGATTCTCTTCCAGAAACATATCTTCTATGGGACTGCAGCATTTCATTTTCTCTGGTTTGTCTGCTTTTGACATGTGAAATGCCAGGAAAGTTTGTCAGTAGGGGAAAGACAGAGAGGGAGGAAGGAAATATTTCATTTAMAAATTTAGTGTACTTTATTGAAATTTTTGCATAATGTGTTAAATAGTTGAGTGCTGCGCAAGTACTTCCAGGTTGTGTGTATACTGTAATTAAAATACAGATTTGGTTTCTTACAGACCTGAGAAAGACCTGAAACTAATTTTTTCTTTCTAAGTAGTTATAAACAGAAGGGGACAGTTAAAATTTAAGTAGAAAAGTCATTTTCTGGTGCTGATCAAATTTAAGCAAACAGGAAAATTTGGTTCCACACCTTCCTCTATTTTATCACAGCATAAGCAGTTCTGCATAACTTTAAAATATTTTTCCATTAAACTCTTTATTTCAAGTGCTCAATGTGAAGCTCAGTGGCAGCAAAACTTTCATAATTTTTCTTCCTGATGATTTTAGAAGGTTTAAATTTAGGAATTACCAGATTTTTCCATTTGTGTGTGCTGTGTCCATTTGCAATGTAATTCATTTAAATGTAACAATAGAAAATGCTCAACCGACTTTTGAACTCTAGCATGTATGRAAGAAAATTTTCTTCTGGGATGAAGACAAGTTGGCAAAACAYGCTCTGCAGAGATTAAATTATAAATGCTAAAAGAAGGCTAGGGCAAAGAAAAACAAACAGAAAGTGCATTAGTCAGATATCTAGTACAACCACTATTTCTACCATAGAAATGCTCTTCTGCATGAGTTAGGGATTTATGCAGACAGAATATTCTGTAGAGTTTGCCCAATATTTAGATAATATAGTGTTGTGTTAGTACTCTATAATAGCTGTGAACAGAGTGGATTTTATTATTTGCTGTTTCAACAAGATCTTGGAATTATTTTCCAGTTATAGGTGTTCTGCTTCACCACTGAGGGTTGGCTGTCATTGCCAATTTTAGTTAAGGGTACTTCATCTAATAGCAATGAATAAAAACAATATCCCCCTTCTCTATAGTCCAACAATATGCATCTGTTATCTGGTAAATTCTAAATACCTTTTAAAAATATATATTTTTGAAGAGACTTTAATTTTTTATCCTTCCTATAGTTTTATTTTGGACCTATTAAATGAAATGTAATTGAAGAGCTAGTATTTTCACTTATTTCCTCTTTACTCTTGTTAGTGCCTCTATTTAATAAATATCTTTATCCCCCCCAAAATCAGTAACTAGCTGAAGCTACGTAGAACTGTGTCAACAGGATGCAATATGAATTTTAGTTTTACAGCGATAAGAGAAATACAATATTCAAAATCCACCCCTAAAGTTATTTGCCTCTGCATCAGTTAACTTAGCTTCCTAAATGCTGAATCAATTCAAGTATTCATTGCTGTAGAGGTTCCCCCTTCAAGCAGTATAGAAATCAAAATGCAAGCAGCCTTATCAGGGTAAAAGTAACATATRTAATCATATCATTCTGATGATCAATATATATTGATGGGCCATGAGTAACTAGCAGTTCTTCTGTCTTTCTCAGAAATTGATCCAGCTTGGGACTGGCTCGGGAAAAATGGCTAAATGACACTTTCTTACCACAACTCKCCCTGCAAGCTAAACCCTCAGGATCTGGGTTTCTGTATTAGTCATAACATATAGCAGACAAACCATAAATACTTTATATACACATAGTTTGCAATGTCCTCAGAGTATGTGTGCAGATATAAAAGGCCTAAAGCACATAAGGGAAATTGCTGAGTTCAAAAGCATGTTTTATGTTTCCAGTGAAACTCYAAGCTGACCATGTAATTATGCTCACAGACTATTTATGTGCAAATGACCACTTACAAAACTGGTTCAAATATCATTGGGACATCATCCCCCAAATTGCAAAGGGTCTTCAGGATTTGGATCTGACTGCACATAAAATGCGTAAAAGGTTATTATTTGTTGCAGCACAGGGCATGGGACTGTCAGTTACTTTCTGGAAAGCTGACAAGATCACAAGAGAGAGATTGCAGGATATGCTACAAATCTGGATCATAGAAAGCAGCACATGACTGGAATGATGCTGTAATCTACTCCTTTTTTTTTCCCCTTTTTTTTCTTTTTCAATCTACCCAGGCCTATTCAGCCAGACTGAGTTCAAAGGAATGAAGAGTACATAAAGCTAGGGAATTTCTACATGACAGAGTCTATATGATGTGTGTAAAGAAGAAAAGAAAAAATATCCACGTGTGAATGGCAAAATGTGGACTCCATTTAGGAAGAGAGGTCATGAATGTTAGCTACAAAAAAAAAAAAAGGTTAAAGATTTTGCATGAATAGATGTTCATCCTAGCAGAGTGATATTCTGAATTTTCTGGAGAATTTCTTGATTTGATGACCCTGGAGTTGAGATATTCAGAAACACCTGCATATAAAAAGAGTATTTACCACTCTAGAAGGGAGATCTTTCATTGAGTCCTATGCAAATAAAAGAGATTGTTGCTAGTCATGGCCTTTAGGTTTCTGGCAGCTTTTAGCAAATTCCCTCTTCACTATCAAGACTTTCTCAGTTGATTAAAGAGATTCTGAGTATACTGTTCTGATGTAAACACATGTAGAGATTGCTTAAAAACAGCCCAAACTTTTAATTTCTCATGAAGATGAGTTAAAATTGGAAATGCAAAGGTTTGCTTTTCTTTATGATTGCTGGTATTCATCTACAGATGTTTCTGTACACTGGTTCTCGTACCGAGGAAAGATGTGTTTTTGAGGTATTTAATTCTTTCTCTCTCTCTAAAATTATATCTAACTTCACTGGAGTCGAGTTTTCTCTGCTTTGCACAAGTGTCATTAAGAGAGAGCTCAGCTCATATTACCTCAAACAAAAGCCTTAAAAAACAATATCTTAAGGCAGCGTAAGAGAATTTTGTGTTAGATAAAATGACAATATGATGTTATATTCTAGAGAAGGATGGCAAGCCATTGTGTACATCCTATATATCAGTGATTTAGTAATGAATTACCTGGAGATTTATGTGATTCAGTCAGGATTTTCCACTCATAATTCCTCTGGACAAGTACAGAAAATACAATTGAATACCTAAGCATGAAAAATATGTGCAAGTTTAGATCTTTCCATATAGTATTTTTCTATTTATATATAACTACCGAGGTAGTATTTGATTTCGTGTAATAAAGGGAACCCACATTATGACAATTATCTGTTCTGTGTTTAAAAATTAATCTCATCATTTTAAAACTAGGTTATGCCTAATCGTTGATTATGCCTAGGTCTCTATGGGCTTTCGCTAGGGTTTTGCTGGTTACTCTGCCATTTTCATAAGTAAATATGCTTTCTTCTACTTCAGAAATTTAACAGGGAAAATCCAGCTACGTCATCTGTGTTTCTTAACCTATTTAACTACTCAAAGGTAAAGTTGAAGATGAAGGTGTGTAGTGCCCACGCTGACCTAAGTTTATGTGTTATGCTACAAGTCAAGTTATCTGAGCAGTGAGTAAATATAGCTGATAATATAACTATTATGTTCCTCTCATTTACAGCCATGAAAGATTGTTCAAATGGTTCTTTGTTATGTACCTCAACTAATCAATGTATCCCAGTATCCCAGCGTTGCGATGGTGTTGTAGATTGTGCTGATTTCAGTCCTGATGAATCCAGCTGTTCAGGTACTTATTTTTACATAAAAATAACATTTGAAGCAGAAAAAAAAACAGTAGTTTTTTTAAAATAAATCCTTAGGCGGTCTTCAAATTAGACTGAAGTCCTTCTGCTAAAGTTTAATCTGATTGCATCAAGCATAAATTTGTATCATATGATACAGAAAGATAGTGAAATAAAAATGGAAAATAAGATACTCAGTTAGCATAACATGTGCTTAAGGGATGTCTTTTAAAATATACATTTTTTGGAAAGAAAAGTCCTTGATGGCATACTCACGCACTGTCTTGATGTTAGCAATGTAAGTAAGCCACCTAAGTGAGCTCAGCAATTCCAAGATTATTGAGATTTTTTTTAAGTATAATGCAAATCCAAGTTAGAAAAGAAAAGAAAATGCATAGAATTTGTTTTAGCCAATTCAGTTCCTGCAAAATTCAGGTTTGTGTGACAATAATGAAATAATGGAAAAAGATAAAAACAAGGCAATAATATATATTTACAATAAGAAATCTGTTTTTTTTAACAAATTCGAACAAAGACTGTGATTTTATAAAAGAACATTTAGATACAAATTGAGTGACACAAATTACTACATTGCTTTCTCAGTTGACATAACAGTTAAAAAGGTTGAGTCAGTTCTGTGTTAACAATATTCTCCTGACTTTGCTGAAGTTGCTTTAGCTGATGATTTAAGTTACGTGTTTATTCACAAGTTAACCAGAAGGCTAGGGATTACATTCACTTAGTATGGTACCCACCAATCTCCCTGYGAGTAAAACTTGACCAGAAGATTTGTATTCATTATCTATGCTTGCTATACATGTGTTTTGTTTTGTTTTGTTTTGTTGTGTTGTGTTTTGTTTTGTTTTATCTAAGAGAAACAGTGATATTTTAACACTAAAAACTAATGCTTTTAGAATTGAAGGTGAATACCTGCTTAGTAAATAYTACTTATATTTCAAATAAAAAGGAATATATTCAGAAAGAAGTTTAAGGTAGAAACATGTAGACTGTAAATCAGTAGACTTTTTTGAGAGTAAATACTAGACTTTCCACTATTTTTTTTTCAGATAGCAGAACTTTTAAGCAGTTTGCTTTTCATTTTTCCTTTTTAGAATTGCAGGTGTTCACAATGAACAGCATAGTATTTTTGTGCCTCAAGCAAACAATTTTATTTAGTATATACACCAAAGTTAAAGAATGAAATATAATTTATTTTACTATTTTTGATCATGTTATGCATAGATAGCACATGAAAATTTAGAAGAGTATTCACTGCTCCTCTGTGATTATACATTGCTGTAATATTTGGAAGCAAAAAAAATGGAAGTAAAACCTTACAATCATTCCTTCTAATAGGAAAAGAAAATGGGTGAAAGAGTCTCAACTCAGGAGTTTTTGGTTTTTTAACAGTTACTTTCTTCCTACAACAGCCTGGGGAGATTAATTTTTGATTTTAAGTATTTCTACACTGCTTCAGTAGAACTGAACCTCATAACGTGAAAATGCATGTAAAGGCAGTCAAAGGTTCATAATCTATATGGCTGACATCTTCCTTTTCTTAAACACTTTACTCTTTTCAAGACTGATTTATCTGTGTTTATGAGCCTGTGATTCTGAGCATTACAATTCTGGGCATTGTTAATTGGAAGATTGTTAACGTAGCAGTAAATAATTGGTTTTTGTCACTTCTATATTTAAACTATTAATAAAAACATTAGATTTAGGTAGTAATATATATATACACTAGATCAATCCKTTCAACTTTTTTCTTCTTTTATATGTTCGTTGTTTGAAAATCCAGTGACAAAAATCGCCATTTCTGTAGTAAATGAAATTCTGACTTCAGAAAAATGAAATGGTGTTCAAATGAAGCACCAGGACTCCTTTATGCTTCAGAGTATTCCATTTACTTTAATGTATTTATAACTTGACACTTGTATCACCAAGTCAAAGCCTAAAGTAGGAGTTTTCAAATGCTAAGTACTTAAAATGACAGGTGTGAATATTAAGCATTTTTAAAATCAGACAATGACAAATCTAATAATCTAAAAATCTAATAAGTGGGGAAAAAATCTTAATCATAATTTAACCTTTATGTTTGTAGATTGTCCTGAAGAATACTGCAAAAATGGTGGAACCTGTGTCACCAGAGATGCTGTTCCTTTATGCCAGTAAGGTTTACTGGGGATTGATTGGTGGTTTGAAATTGGGGGAAGGGGTTTCTGGAAAAACTATTTGTTACCCATGGACTGAAATGACATTCAGTACAAATGTGCTTTGAAAAGTTTATGCGTGTTTACACTATTTTAATTTACAGCTCCTGAGTAAACAGTTCTTTGAGAACAAGAATATTTATCAAATAGAATTTTCTGTGCTGTACATGCATGATTACATGGGAAAGGCTGTTTGTGTGATATCTTAATTTCTTTGTTTCACATGATCATGTTTCATTTCCATCGTGCAGCAAGCACAAGATATAAAACAGGCCATATTCCCATCTTTGCCTGAACTCAAGATGTAGTTTTGTTATGATGTTACTATTCCATGTACTTCCATGTATTCCATGATTGTGGGGATAGGGAGACAATTATGGCAAATGAAAGTTTAAACATATGTTGTCATTTTTTTTCTGATAGTTCCCTATGTTGAAGCACAAATCATGAATATATTTTTGATGTGAAATGTAAGAATCATTAAAAGATGCTCAAGATATTTGAAGGGACTGATTTTTAAAAGATGTCACTCTGTTAGCTCAAGGGAAATGAAAGGAGACTTCTTTGAAGTTCAAAAAAAAAGTTATATTCTATGGTTTTATCCTTCATGAACTTCCGTGGATCTTGCCACAGAGTTCCCCAACTTACTAAAGAAGAAATTATTTTTCCGAAGTATCTACTTTAGTCATGACCACACATTAAGTCCTAGTCTCTAGGAAATTCAAGTTAGTAAGCTTGCAGACAGATTTTCAAGGGACTTATAATTTACTGGCTGAAAATAATTGATAACATATCAGCAAATGCAAGCACCTTTGTGCTAGAGTAGTTTCATTTAACTCTCAGAAAGCACTGTTAATTAATTGTGGATTTCCTAAAGAGTCTCCTCTGTGTAAGAGAGAGAGTGGCATCTGTAAGAAGCTTTGAATTTCATTAAGATGGTCGTTTAAAAACTTCTGGAACATAAAAAGAGCAAAAGGAGACTAAAAGCTTAGGGAAACATTTTGAGTGAAGTGGAATGAATAGTCAGCAGAAAGTAAAGGAATTAGGAATAGCTAGAGAGCTGACAGTTGATAGATTAAAACATCACAGATTAAATCATTCATCAACACAAAAATTATTTCAGAGGCAAGAAGCCAGATTTTAGGGATACAAGGATATAAAGGATAGGGATATAAAACTGTTTCAGATATTGCAAATGGAAGGAAACCAGTTAGCAAGTGGATCTTCATCCACATTAATAAGATGGAGGCAAGAAAGCCRCAGTATTGAGTATAAAATATACAGATTAAAGATAATAAATAAGATATTAAGGATAACATAGTAAATCATTAAAAATATTTTATCAYTTAATAAAATAATTTAATAGTAAGGATTAAGGATAATACAATAAATAATTCCTTTAGCATTTAGTAAGGAGTGTGGTACTGGATTCTGGTACAATGCACAGGTGACTGGAGTGAAGGCATGGAAATGGAAATGACCTAGCTAATGGGCAAACTTAACTCTGAAAGCTGTATGTGCTTGTGTCTAGGGAATAGGTGATCTCTGTTCAAGAATACCAGAAAAATAGTGTATGTTGCAATGGTGGAAGGCTTTTTGAAAGCTCTGCTGCTTTCTCCAGGGATATGGCTGGAGAATAGTAAATGGAGAAGAAATGAGTTGGCAGATCAGCGTTCTGATAGCAGTAATATATGAGGCTTTATAACATTTTGAAGGAATTAAGCATACATATAACAGCAGGGGAGTTAGCCATTTCTAAGATAAGCTTCTGCATGATACTTGAAAATCCCAGCTGTCAGTATCATGAAAAGAGGGAAAAGATCAAAAATATTCATTAAATACAAAAAATGTAAAAATGTCCCATTTTCACTTGCGAGGAAAAAAAATGGAAAAAAGAAAAASTAGAATTATTGTGGAAGAAATACTAGCTTTTTATCTGTTCATTCTCAGGTCTTAATTTATATTTCCTTAAAAAGATACGATACTTAGCCAGAGATATCGCCTTCTTTTGGGAGCAACTGCCCTTCTGGATTGCAGGTTAGGTCAGGAGAAAAAGAAGCACAAGTAAGAATACCTGGAATACAGAAAGCAAACTATGAAAAGAGCAGAGTGTGGATACTCCCTTGTCTCTGAAATACTGTGAAAGGAGAGGCTTCCAAGATACACAGAGTAAATGTGGAGATTGCTGTGACCCTAAAAGTCAGTGAGTTGTACTGAAGTGAATAGTCTCTACTCTTCAGTGACACAGTGGGGAAGAGGTAATTTGGTTAACATGTCTCTTTACTTCTATTTGTCTTACACTACCGCTTCCAGTCTTTCTTTGAGGTGGTAGTGCGCTATTTTTTACTAAATAAAATCTGCCTGTGGAGTTTGAAGCCCTTTTGGCCTTCTCTGACAAACTCAAGTTAAGGGAAAAAAAWATAGGCAGATCTCAATAGACTAATTCAAGGATTCATCATAATCCTATAAAATTAGAAATCACTTYTATCTTACCTTAATTTGAGATATATTTATAGAAGAGAATCCAATGCCTTAAAAGAATTTTAACTGGTGATGAGAGATGTGCTTTTATTTCTATGCTTTTAATTCATTCTGACRGAAATATTGAATTGTAAATTGATATGTTTTTGCTAACATTTGGTATGTTAGCATTAAAACATATTGAATTTGTAGTTGCTCAGTAAAAAGCAAAATAAAATTTTAAAGAGATTGAAAGTTTGATTGTATATTTTATACATTCAATGCTTGTCAATTTTCAGTGATGCTTTATATTTTTGTATGTATGCACCTCTGTATGTGTTGCACTATGCATTCCTGTGTGAATGTTTCTAAAGTCTACTTGACTTTCTTTCTAACTAAGAGGCTTCAGGAGCTCTGTGAAGCTGAGCTCTTCAGTGGACATATCAATAGATGAGTCAGAAAAGATAACAGTGGATATAAGCCTAGATGAGATTGCAATGTGTGCTGAACCAGATAACTGAGTTGGTAGGCTGGGAGAGAAGGGTCATTTCTCTTCACATTATTGAAATCAGCTTTTCTTAGATGTTATATAATGAATGCATTAACTTTAATGAAAAGTCACATTTGAAAACGTGACTATTGATACGATGATGGATGTCTTGGATGGATGGTTGTTGTGTTCATTGTTTTTTTTTCTCTGCAGCAAGAGCTTGCAATGAAATGCAGAGACATAGTGCTTCAGGGATGAGATTTAGCTTACTATTTGAATGACACCATCTGGCTGGCTCTCCTGATCCACACTAGTATTTAAATTATGAGTTAGGTTTGAAAACCACATGTATTTTTTTCTTTTATTTGACTGGAAGAGTACTTGGGGAACATATCAAAAACTTTTGTCCTGTTCTTACTGTTTCCTGGGTATACACTTTGGCTATACTTTGATCTCAAAGTCAGTCTTATTTCACAAAATGTGGCTCCTGTGGGTCGTATTTGACCAGACTGAAATTCCTTCTGTAGTGGCAATCAGTTAACATGGCTATATGTACAAATCATGATAACTTGAGCAATAATAGCCAAATTTTTGCATTCTCAGTGTTCTGATTTCAACATTGTCTCTGTTATTGTGTGTATACTTTCCTCATTTTTTTATCTAATCTTTTTTTTTTAAATTAGACCACTCATCTTTGCAAACTTTGGAAAGGTGTATTGATGACAACAGGCATACCAGGAAATTGGTGTTTATCAGTCTCTGAAATGGAAGGGTTTCAAAGATCATACTAATGCTAAAATAAAATCTGAAAACATGTTTTTTTTCTAACCAACCACCTTGTTAATGCATATTTTAACTCTAATACTAGCCAGACAAGCTTATTACATTACATTCACATTTAAATTTTACCACAGCTCATATACAATAAACTCATAATAGTACTTGTCTGTATTTTATTTTATATAGATGTTTTCTATGTAGTATATAAAAATTAAGAGTTACACAGACTACTGCAAATACGTGTAAAATATGGTCTGTTATTAATGCCAGAGCCCTAAAGAAGGATCTATTGTTATGCACAAAATGTAATTGCATTCACTACCCTGTATTTAAACAATCACATTGTAATTTAGAAATAAATCTTCATTAAATATAGTTTTTCAATTACATTAAATATGTACCAAGTGAGCTGCAGAGATTAGAATTTCAAGGAATCTGAATACATAGATAATTAATTGAGGTAATCTTTGTAGCTGTGTATCTAACTGCTGATCTGGCCAAAGTATAGGAATTGAATTATTTTGTTTATTTGTTTTGCTTGATGAAAGTAAAAAAGATGACCTTCCTTTTTATATTTTAGGCAAGAATTGTTTTTATATGGTTATATCTGATTCAAAAGAGGGAATCTGTTTGTTTGTTTGTTTGCTCTCCTAAGAAAAGGTACAGACAAAAACAACAAAATATATTATTTTTCAGTAGTGGAGACAATTTCTCAGAATCTGATTTTTGTCTTCAGAATGATAACTTCTGCTACTTGCACCACATTTTTGATGAAAAACCTTGAAATCTTGCATGCAGCTTTAAATAATGTCATAGTAGACTTGCTTGATGCCTTTTACAGGCAAGCTTTTTATATGTGCAAGGATGGAAATTCCACATGTTCTCTGGACAATGTATTCCAATGAGGAATGCTTTTATTTTTTTTTTTTCTGAATGTGTTTGTATCTAGATGTATTCTTGCTTCTACGCTTGGTACTCTCTCCATTTTAGAGGTAATAACAATGAGGGTTAGCTTTAAAAGAAAGAAGTGGAGAGATTGTTTAACTRTAACAGAATATGTCATGAAAAATGAGTGATAGTAGTATTCCCATCTAAGAAAAAATATGCATGGAAAAATCTAGCCCATGATTTGTCTGAAAAACAGAGACTAAAGCGTAGCTCAACAGACAAATCTTAATTCATAAGGAAAACCATTTTGCAAGTGGCCGTTYCCATTGCAGCTAAATTT